CGAACCCCCGCGAGCGGTGCTCTTTCGGAGGTCCACATCAAGCTCAACAAGCACGCGAGCAACAGAGGGTCTGGAATCCACAGAACTAGCCGAATCAACCTTAAGTGGTTTACCAAAAATCGATCCCAAGCCAAAAAGAATACGGGGGGAGAACAGGTGAGGACGAAGATTAGAGAAGGATGCCCAGATAAGGATCACAGGCGACTCAATACCAACATCAATCAGAGGAGACCACTTAATTAACTTCATATAACAATTTTGAACTAAGTAAGAATGATGGCAAAAAATTCTACAGTAATCAAGGTCGTTACACAACTTGATCAAGATATGCATTTGATCAAGCAAGGTAACAGAAATCTCCCCCGAAAGCTTCAGAGAAAAAAAAACCTATGGATAGAGTCCAGAGACGGCCTCTTCGAGGGGAAAAAAACCAATCAAAGAAAACTGAAAAGTCAACGCAAGAACATTGATTTCATCTTCTGAAATCCATAGCGACGGTAACCCGCGAAAGGACGAAGGTTTTAGGTCAGGAAAAAAAACATCAGATGAAGAACCAGCAAGAGCCTCCAGAAATGACCTAGACTTGAACGATCCCTCAAAAAACCCAGGATCGCACAACCTCTCGCCCCCCCCCCCCCCCCCCCCCCCTCACATCCAGAGAGGAAGAAATAAAAAATCAAAGCAAAATAAAAAACGAACAAACACCGCATGAAATAATAGGGGAAAAAAGGAGCGAAAGCCCCAGCCGGCAGGCTGCCGGGAGGCAAGAGCCCTAGCAGATGTGAGCCCAAGCGTAGGGAAGCAATACCCTAGAAAATATTAACATTATGAATTATCATTTTTCATATATTCATATTGAGTATTGTCCCATTTTATATTTTGCTTACATTTTAATTCCCATGCCAATGGGAGATCTGGTTGCCTAGGATGCTCCAGGCCATCCAAACATGCCATATCTTATGAAACATAGGGATATTTCATAGCCTCCATGTGCACTCGATAGCTAAATTCTAAATCGTCAACGTCATTGGCCTCAACTTTCACTCATCAAAAAGATAATCATAACACACAACTACATGCTATGTGTATGCCATAATTTTTAAAAATTGACACATAAGCATCCTTCTTAAAATATGCAACCAATTCAATAGTGAAGCAAGAGAATTTAAAGAAAACAAATTGAATGAATTCACTCCATCCAACGATAATAATTGAAGGGATGTCAGAAAGCTTATCATGGCTAAATCAAGTGATGACAATAACTATGAAATTTAGAAACTCTTCAACTTAAAAAAAAAATGAATGCATTTACTTGTTGATTAATTGATTATATTAAAAAAGATTTGAGGAAGCAAAAATAAAGTGCACGTGAATAAAAAATTAAAAATAAAAATTATAAATATATAAAATTATTATTTTTACTTAGATGAA